CATCTCTGGTCAACAGCATTTAAGTGCTAGGAAGCAATAAAATACTCTGCTTGGCTGTCGTGGCAAGAATTTCTTAAAAAGTAGAGAAACCTGGGAATTTCACAAGCTAAAATCAGTAAATATGAAAGTATACTGGGGGTGACTTACTTGAAGGTCGATAGTTAGTTTTTTGTATAAAACTCAGTATAAAACTCAGTAAAACTTGTATATACCCTTTTTGTATAAAACTCAGTTTCAAGAGAAAATAATTATTGAAAGAGATGAAACTGAGACACACCCATCATACAAATATGTAGATATTCTAAATCATGACTGAAACCCATATTGCATAAATAGAATGTGCTTGATATTTCAACAATTAATTGTTTAGGATGAGTAGAATAGAACTGATAGGAATTGATGCTATTGAGAATAGAGAGAATAAGTAAACTAATAAAGAATTATTCTCATCATCAGGTGAGGTCAAGATGTCTTGTAGTGATACAGAACTGGTTAGCAATATGAGAGATGAGCCTGTTAATTTGATAGGACATAATAAACTATAGTATCTACTCCAAAGTTTTTGACATAAACTGTGTGTAGGAAACAGAATGCCCTCTGTCATCATTATTATATGGTAATTAAGAGAAATAAATTGTGGAGGTTGGGTTAATAAAATGGATAATTCCTCGGATATAATAAATATTCCAGAAGAAATGACACTTGCAAATAAATCTAGTATACCATCTCTGGATCTCAACTGTGTCACTCAAATAACATTGGATATTATGGTAAAAGTCAGAGAAATTGCTAATACAGAGTCTTTCCTGAAATTAATTTTCATTAGGGATACATTCTCCTTTAAATTGTTTTTCAAGCAAATATTAGTCACAGTGTCCAGAGTGCATTGTTTTCATACTGAGAGATAGCTTAGCTCTGTCAGCTGATGGAAGGGGAACAGTTAGTGACTTTACACCCCACTTGTTGGCTCCCCACAATCTTTGAGATGACCACTGCCGAATCAACAATGTTATAATAGATGAATTATTTTTCATCTGATCTAGTGAGGCTCTTATATTACTTGTCATACTTATTCATTTGAACTTACCTGCTCCATCCATTTCATCTGCAAATGAAAACATTTAACTGGACTATTGGAAATATCTCAATGACAAACTTTTTTTAAAGCCTGAAAACTATTACACTTTGCATATCCAGCATTACTGCAGCGTTAATGAGGATTCTCATTTTAAAATTAAACCAAAACAATAGAAACAATGTTGAGAATAATCAGTAGAACCATTAGTGTCATTTCATACCAACTGACCATTAGGCTAGACTTGCCTATCACATACATCTACTGTTAAAATGGAGTAGTTCCAATTCCATTCAGTGTATATGCGAGCCTTCCTTCTGTAACCTTTAATTTTTAAGGTTTAAATATGAAATTATATTTCACAACCAGAACCTCTCTGTCTCAACATGGCTCCAACCCTAACTTTGAGTTTAATTTTCTAAGAATAAATTTTGAAGAGGACTAAGATATTTGATCTAAGAGTTAAGAAATTAATTCTTGTAATTAGGAACATTACCACAGAATCATATACAACATGTTAGTTATTTCTCTTGCTAGTTCTACGTATTTCTGGTCTTGCTTTGTTGCTAGTCCTAACTATACCACAAGGCAAAGACTCTACCCTGAAGTACTGTAAGTATATCGGTCTGACTCAGAAAAATATATGGCTAAGTAGGAGGCAATCCAATGGCAGTTGGCTGTTGGGGGCAATGCATAAATAAGATGAAAATATCCACATATAAACAGCATGTACAATGAAATGGGCTCTCCAAGTCACCATAATACTTAAATGCTTTTAAATTCAGACTATCTTTTCAGGTTGTTCACTTCATTTCATGCAAGCTACATTTGTTTTAAGTGTGAGCAATTTATACATTGCATTAAAAGTCTATTTGGCATTTGCCATCCATGACCACACGGACAGCATCTAAATGCCCTACTTATTTGCTTTTCTGTTTATACTTCAGTGACCAAGTTCTCACATCCAACAGTATAGAAAATGCTGTTTTTCAAGCAGATAACTTCTAGACCTAATATTAAAGCATAACAGAAAGGAAAATGATCAAGACCTGAGAACAATACAACACTAAGTAATCAGTGGCTAATAAAATTAATCAAATTACAGATTTCATATCTATCCACAACTAGTATATCAAAAATAATGGAACACGTGGAAGAGCCATGGAGTCAGTGCGATGTACTTCCATGTAGATCTGCTTGTGCTGGGGCTGCAATACTGTAGCAATCCTCAGTTTAATGTGGATGTTAAACATAATAAAGTGGCAGAGATTAGACTACCACAATCTTGGGCAGATAGATTTCCACATAAACTTCTGCACAGGATTTCCACACAGGATTCCTCTTATTTTCTTCCCTCTGTCCACACTATCCATGTACCCTTCAAAGTTTGCTTTGAAGAATTTCCCAGCCCCCTGAAGTAGATATGGAAGTTGCCTAGAGAGATGGGAGTTGGGGAGGAACAATTACCAAGGGATACAAGCCATTTTGTCAGGAAGAGCCTAATAGCTCCTTTTCTAACTATATTTTATGAAATGTATTAAACTTTGTTAATCAGAAAAGATGCTACTAGACTCTTTCTGACATAATAGTTGTATCTGTTGGTAATAAGTTGCACTCACAAAGCTTATGCCTTTTAATAAAATTTGTTAGTCAGAGAAGGTGCTACCAGACTCCTGATTTTTTTACCACCATAGATTAACACAGCTCTTCTCCCACAATGCCAATACATTTTGCACAATATTATCCCACTTGGTCTATAATCTGGCTACATGGTGAAAACTCATGGGAGGTTTGGCCTGAAAAAGAACTAGTTTACATAAATGAAAACAAGAAGGTGTCTTTAAAATCCAGCTGCTTACCAATGACCCCCAAAAGCTTAGAAGCAGGGATTTGCCGCTTGGTGCTACCTCGAAAATAGTATTCAGTGCTATCCAGCCTCTAAACCTGTTGATTGCATACAGCCATTATGATGAATAGTCATTGACAGACCATGAATTTGTCTAGTTTTCTTTTAAATCCTTGTGGTACAAAACACCATAAATTAATTTGAGAAGCTCTATAATGAAGCTTGGACACCATTAAGCTTGAGGGTACAGCCAGTTTGGTGTAGTGGTTAAGGCTTCAGGCTAGACACCGGGAGACTGTGAGTTCTACTCCCGCCTTAGGCACAAGGCCAGCTGGGTGACCTTGGGCCAGTCTCTCTCTTTCAGCCCTAGGAAGAAGGAGGCCAGGGCAAACCACTTCTGGAAAACCTTGCCAAGAAAACTGCAGGGACTTGTCGAGGCAGTCGTCAGGAATCAAAAACTGACTCAAAGGCACACGTGCACATGTGCGTGACACACACTCAGATTTTATGGGACTTATGCGAAGATATCAATAGCTTCAAGGCTGCATCCATAACGTGCAGCTTGAGTACTGTCTGAGATGAACCTGCAAAGGTATTGACAGAAGCCATTAACTAAGGCTTTAAGTGTGAACTTTTTAACAAAACCTAACAGGTTTCCACTAATTTACAAGTTGCTCTGCTTAGCTTCATGTATATAATTAACTGAGAGTTGGAAACAGATATGCTGACAACAAAGTCAAAATCTCTAGGGTCACAATGCAACTGAAAACACATTCACTATAAATAGCATTAATGCAGTCGCATTCAATTCCACAAGACTGTTGAAATCTCAGGCATGCAGTGGATTAACTTCAGTCTTAGATGTTATATTTACACCCACTTGCTACTACAAGGACATTGTCAGCAGCAAAAGAAAAATATATTCAGTTGATCATATAAAATTAGAGATTAATTAGCCCATAAATAAGTGCTAATCCTGAATTAATTCTTCCTTTTTACTTCAATTGTCACTGTAAATTCCAGTGGCAAAATATTTGTACAGATTATTCAATCAAATATGCGTAATTATTTGGATATGTTTTCCTCAATAAAATGTCTGAGGTTCATTAATTCCCTTCTATAGATTTATACATTTTAATAGCTGTTTTATAATACAGAAATCTTCTTGTATAAGTGTCACCTAAGATGTTGACAATTCTAACAGCTTTCATTTGTTTATAAGGCATAAACTCTAGTGTAATTTCAATGGATCATAAATTAAATAGTGGATATTTCCATATAAATTCTAGGAAGCATTTCAATAAATATAAAATATTGTGAAGGATACTGTCAAACCTCTATCTCTATCTATCTTTTCTTCTAGATAGTTGAGGCATAACCATGCATTCTAACTTTTTACAGAAGAAATAGTTTTACAGAAAAAGTTGGCAATGTTGTTGCACTCCATGAATCTTTCCCCATTAAGAGAGCCAAACGTAATTCTTCCATTCATTTCTATGTAAGCTTTCATTTGAATTTTTCATTAAAAGGGGTTATTTACAGCCTACTTAAAGTGAAATAGAGGGGACGAGAAAATGAAACACTGCGCATCCGATCTGTTGTAGGCTAAATGACACTCTCACTAGCAATACCATAATACCTTCAGAGTGGTGCAGCAGCTAAAATAATAGAATTGTTAACTGTTCAGTGGTAACTAATCAGTGTTTTTATTCATATCCCAAGCATGCTTAGAACAGATAGAAAGCAATGACTGACCCAGGAATTAAGAATTTTGAAACCTCTATAGAAAGAAACCTTGAGTTATTTCAGATCCAGAGAAAAGCTATGAATTACCATATTCCTCCACTACACAATAATCTTTCAAGCATTTTTATGTTTTTATTCAAATTGGAGTCATTATCAAATACATCTAATAAATTGTGACTCAGTTGGGATCTATTTGATCCCAGGACCAGGTCAGTAAAATATTTCTCCCCAAATGGTCAAAGATTAAACAATGTCACTTGCTAATGCACAATTAAAGCGAGCGAATTTGAGTTTGAGATAATTAGTATCAATGCTGAAAAGTGCCATACTTACTCTCTGTCGATGACAAGACACGTCACGGCTTCAGCAGAAATAACATTAGCTGTTCTGACATCTTCCCTGAAAGGACAACAGCATACATTTTACACAAATGGTCAGGCAGTTATCTCTGTGGTACTATAAAACATTAGCACACAAATGCATCTTGCAAATGAGAATTATGCTTACTGATTTATTGTTCTTTAAACCATTAACAGCAAATAATGCTATTCTAATCTTGTTGCTCTTGAGAAATGTTTACAAAACAATATTAACATAGGTAGTCATTTCCCCAGTAGAAATGTTGCTCCATCATTTTAATGCCTTTTCATAAGACCATTTCTTTCCTCCTGTTCTCACTTTGCAATTCACTTAGCAGAAGCAGACAACTTATACATTACTATGGGTCATAGAAGAAATATGGCTATTTTAGTAGAGTGACATCATTATAATCTATCATTTCTATAAATAGAGAAAAGCAAAACAAACAATTAATTAGATTATGCGTCAAGTGACGTGAGATGGTAGCAGACTAATGTGGACCTGCTCTGTTCAGAAGATGGGTTTGTGAAGAAAATGGTGAATAGGTACCAATGTGTTCTCTACTTTGGTTTTCCCCATGAATTCCTATGTAGGTTTCAGTTTGGTATGAATCCCAATTATATGAAGAAAAAAATCTTCAGGATATGTCCTGTATGACTGGAGGGACAGAAGTTTTTGAAAGAAGTTGTTTTAAAAACTTCAATCTCCCACCAAATTGTGCAGCTTCCAAGAGACCACGGACACTTCCTGCTGGCACCCTTCCAGGTCCCTATTCTACCTAACTTTTTATGGAGATTCTTCGAATACCCAAATAAATGGGACACACACATGTGACAAAGAAAAATGTAGTAACATTTTAATTTACATAACTTGGCCCCACATAGGGCCCACAGGCATTGTTACATAATCAAAGCAATAAATGATTGTGGCTTAGTGTTTTGTCTGGAAGTGGGTCCCACTGCCCAGAAAATTAGTCAGAACAAGATGAAGTGTTAGAACACATCCTAGAAGAGAGAGAAAGTAATAGAGAAAAATCTTATCACTTTGCATTTTCTAAGTGGGTTTTGATTTTTGCCACAAAACACTAGATGTCTATTGAGGAAAAGAAAAAGAAAGAAATATAAAATAGGTAGGCAAAACATAATGAAAAAGACATGGCTGGCAGGATCTTATCCAATAATACAACTTTCCATTGCAAGCCCTATTAACTATCGTATTTGAAAAATCTAATTCTTTAAATCTTGATATATATGGACATATAGAGACTTATCCCTTTTTTAAAAAATGCCTACATTGCTCCTGTAACATTATCACAACATTTCTATGACCCTGGTCAAGGATTATTTATAACGTTTTTCTGGAAAGCTATTGCTTTAGATAGAAATACTGTTTAATCAACAGAGGATCCTCTCCTTTTTCACTTGAACAGCTAATTTAACATTATGTGGAAATATACAATTTGAGTCCTGGCATTATATATCAAAATGCAATATCACTCATACTGGAATTATAATAATTTTTAAAGAATATATGCTAATAATATTATACCATCAGCAAATCTGTAACAACACGCAACTCCAGGACTGATCAAATCACTCCTCACTACAGAATACCATGTATGGTTTTAACTTGTTTAGTTATGCCTCTCGAGATTAATGCCGGTAGGTTAAGATGTGATAAATTATACAATATGTAAGCATGCAGTAAGTCTTTTTATTAGAGTAAGCCAAATGTTCATTATAATGCAGCACTTGAGTCAGTTCCAGTGCTACAGCCCAGCTTAAAAACACGATGAAAATGTAATCTGGCAATCACTAACTCTGAGATTTTTTCAGCTTCAAGACTGTATTCTTCATCACTACTTCCAGAGAGGTAGAATTCTTTCTCAGAATTGCTGTCACTGTCTAAATAACCCATGGCGGAGAGGTCACATCTACCATTTTCCTCCTGGAAAGAAATTACTGTTTCCTTCTGTCTACAGACTCTACCTTATGCGCTATACTCACTCTGGAATTTTACAGACCTTCCCATTTAAAGTCTCTAGGCATGGAAAAGGTCACAGCTGCTCTAGAGGTATCTCCTACGTATCACTGGAAAATGAAAGCCAAGTATCTTGTCAGCCACATGGGAGCACCTCTGAACACCAGTGCTTCTTTAACAGATGAGTGTGTTGACAACAGCAGAGCAGCAAATGCTTCATACGAGCATCAACTTTAACCTAACTCTTGCCAATCCACAAGAAGGTTCAAACAAATCTGCATACTTTTTTGGGGGGGTTATGCTCCCCTCTCGCTCAGCAATTTCCTAGTTCCTTAGGGAATATGTTTTTCATTATTAGACTGAAGTTGTCTGATGTAATCAAAAGATTACTTAAGATTAAAAAAAAACAAAATTGGTTAATGATTCATACAACTGTTGGAAAATACTTTGATATGATTAGCCTATTTTAACATTTGGCAGTTGAAATATACCAAGCAATGAATAAACTGGATTACTACTACTAGTAATAAACTATTACTACTACTAATATATTCATTTACATTTCCCGTATTTACTAAAATAAATGTATATTTTTCTCTGCTAATAAGTGATCTGTGAATTGAGGGAATGCTCTTGCATTCCCTGAGAAGACTAGAATAAGCTATTCAAAGCAAAATTGCTGTCATTTTTGTTGATGAGGCAATTAATTTTATAAATGGAATACCTTATTTTATAGGGGCATCTTGATTGTATATCAGCACACTGCATATATGTGTACTTTTTAGTTGATAAGGTAAGACAACAGTTTCCAAGACAGCCTTTAGACGAGGAATTGTAGTTTACACAGAATAACGTGACCATGTTTGGATGTAAAACTGGGTTTTGGTTACACCTTTGGCATACAGGCCAACATGTGTCAAAACCAACTAGTGTTGTTTTTACCACTTGCAGGGAATGCTTCATGTAATATGGATCTAACAAGACTACACAGAACAAAAGAGCCTAGAGTAATTTTGGCCATATTGCTAATCAGTATAGTTTGAATAAAAATGATCTGTCAAGGATAGGCCAATCAAGAACCAGTTCTCTTGGAATTTCTTCATAAAGGACCAATCGGAAGGCTACTTAGATGAGGAACCAATCAGGAACCAGCTTTTTTGAATTCCCATGACATGGTCCAATCAGATATCAGCTTGTCAGGTTCAAATACAAAAGCCTAGTCAGTGCCTGTTCAGTTGCCTGATTTTGGTCATCCAGACACTGGAAAATTAGATTACTGCTTGAATGATCTCTATTGATTATTTGCATTTGTCCGTGACTTCTTTGGTGCATTTAACATTCAACAAACATATATAGAAGTCACCTCTAATTCCTAGCCTGGGATTTCTGGCCAAGACTACAGCTGCTGGGACAGTTAGTACGAAAAACTGCTAAGATTCATTCCTACAGATAACCAAAGCGAACAGGGTCTTTTCCATGGTGGTCCCATTCTTAGAATGTCCTGTTGAGAGAGTCAGGCTTTAGTCCCTCTGACAATAATGGGGCAAATTAGCCATATCTGATCCCAGTGGGATTGAAGTGTAACTCTTTCAATAATGTTGGAAGTAACTGGTCAGTGACCTTAAGCTACCTTGGACTTGGGCCAAAGTTTCTAACATTTGACAGGGATTGTCCATATAAGGACTAATTCTGCTTGGTCTTGTTAGAAAGTAATTATTAAGAAGCATGCCATTTTAATTAATGACTCATGCCATTTTAGAAGGGAAGTTAGTGCTTTGCTATTACACAGAAGCAAGAGAGTCACGTACATAGATTAGAAAGGAATGTAAGGAGAAATGTTACACTCATAGTAACAGAGATAAAACATGCCAATAAAAAAGTGAGAAATTAGGCTATTCCTTATTAGGAAAGCAAAACTTGCAAATTCTAGAACTAGACATGCACAGACTAGTTGTTTACACCTGACTATAAAATGGCTTTGTGTCCCTTGCAAGGGACCAGCCACACTCCGTGCTAAATGCTTTTGCCTTGTGTGTTAAATAAACCCTTTGAACTCTGAATTATAGCATCTGGCATTTTGACCTGAGCAAGGAATGAGCTAAGGGAAAAAATTCTTCTAACAATCTCAGAACACTGAGATAGTATCTTACTAATGTTAACTTCTACGTCCAATACCTTCTAACACTAACTCCAGGCAAATATGAATCAGAAACACATTTCTCTTGCCAAACCCTACTAACACAACACAAGAGGTTTCTAGCTGAGTCTGTGTGTGAGTGTGTCTTAAGTGCCATCAACTCATTGTCAACTCTTAGCAACCACATAGATAGATTTTCTCCAGATCTGCCCCTACCTGGTCTTTCAGGACTTCCAACGATGCACTCATAGCCATTGTGACTGAGTCCATCCACCTTACTGCTGGTCATCCACTTCTTTTCTTTCCTTCTACCTTTCCCAGCATTAGAGCCTTCTCTGGAGAGCTAGGTCTTCACATAATGTGTCCAAAGTAGGATTTGAGCCTGGTCATTTGTGCCTTGAGTGAGAACTCTGGGTTGATTTGTTCGATGATCCATTTGTTTGGATAGTGTCAGGGTAGTGTCAACATCATAACACAGGTTATTGATGTTTCTTCCTCCATTTTTAAAACCACACATCTTTTTCCAACCCAGGTTCCCTTAATATATATTCAGCATATAGGTTGAATAAATAAGGGGAGAGTATACAGCACTATCTCACCCCTTTGCTAACCTGGAGCTAGTCTGTTTCTCCATGTTCTGCTAGATGTGGTTTCCTGACCTGTATATAAGTTTCTCATGAGGAGAAAGATGTTCTGGGATTCCAATTATTCTAAGCACATTCCACAGTTTGATGTGATCAACCCAATCAAAAGTCTTTCTACAGTATAATCAACAGAGCACATAGTGACTTCTTTTTGGTATTCTTCGGCTTACTCAATTATCCAGTGTGCATCAGCAACAATGCCTCATGTTCCTCAGCCTTTTCTAAAGCTAGACTGAACATCTGGTATCTCATTTTCCATGTAGGGCTCTAACCTGCATTGGATGATCCTAAGCATTATTTTGCTAGTATATGAAATTAAGGATATTGTACAATAGTTTGCACACACTGTTAAGTCTTCACTTTTTGGTACTGGAATGTAGATTGTTGTCCAATCTGTTGGCCACTGTGTCATTCTCCAGATTTGCTGGCATAGCTTGGTTAGAACCTTTACTTATTCTTCTTCTATTGTTTGCCTTATTTCTGTGGGTATTCCATCAATTCCTGTATCTGACTTGGCAATGACCAGAGTGCTGATCTAACTTCATCTTTTAATATGAGAGGTTCTTGTAAGTAGATAATATCTTCTAAAGTATCTTGGACGTTGGCAACTCTACTGTACAGTATTTCAGTATACTCTTTCCACCTTTATTTGATCTCCTTTGAATTGGTAACTGTCTGTCCACTGGCATCCTTTAGCATACCAATTTGAGATTGGAACCTCTTTCTGAGTTCAGAGATCTTTTGAAAGACTTTCCTTGTTTTTCCATGTCTGTTTCCATGTTCAATGTCTTTATAGACGATGTGGTAATACTGCTTCTT